ATGCATAACATATGTGTGTTCATATTTCACCAAGGATGAAACAGAGTGTTCTCAGGCTATTATCAATGCTGCAAAAGAAGCTAAAATAAACAACCCTAGTGTTGCAGAAGGCTTAAGAAAAATAGGTGCCTCTTTTCTTTCTACACAAGAAGTCTGTTCACAAGAATGTGTTTATCGCTGGATGCCAGAACTATGGCTTAGAAAAATTTTCCCAGGAATTGTATTTGTCAGTACTGATTTACCAGAGAAAAGAGTACATGTTACAAAATCTAAGCAAAAATTGGATGATCATGATGATGATAGTACAGATATTTTCAAGTCTAAAATTATTGAACGCTATAGTATCAGACCTGACTCTATTTCTGTTTTAGATAAACTTTGCCTTGCCGAGTTTGCAGCTTATTATTATAAAGACTATAGAAAAGAGTCGGATAAAACAAATGATGCTCAACCAAATGTCTTAACTGATGAAGTCATACATACACAACATTCAATTTTGCAAAACATCTCACTTCCACCCCAGATAACATTAATGAACACAAAAGAAAAAATGAAATGCAGAAAAGTTAAAGCAGTCATTAGGTATCATACACCAAATAAGACAAAAGAACCTGAGCGTTACTTCCATCACTTACTAATGCTGTACTAGCCATGGAGAAAGGAAAGTGATCTAATAGCCGCAGATCAATCATATGCATCCAAGTTTTATAAGCCTAATGTTCAGGAGGTGGTAGCATTAAACAGCTCCGTATTTGAACCTGATGCTGACGCTGTTACAGAAGCTCTAGAAAATCTTAGAAACAACCAAGGTACTGTTGAAACTGGGCCCAGGCAGCAAACAAAGGAGGCCCCTCTGGAACTGGCCCAGTAACCACATTTACAAACAACCACCAGATATGAAAGACTTGTCCAAAAGCCAAAGTTCAATGACCATTAACTTTACCAGCAAGTGGGCTCACAGAGTACACCCACATAAGAGCAGTTTATAGCATTATATTGGGTTCTCCTTTGAGCCATATTGCCAAATTATTCAACATTTCCAGATCTACTGTTTCCAGGATATTTACATCATGGGGAAATTTACAGTTTTTTGGTTTGGGACCTATTAATTTCTGGTTGCCTAAACATGCATTTCAGATGCCTGAGAGTTTTTGAAAATGGTTGGTTGGTTGATCCTTGATGCCACTGAATTAAAGATAGACACCTTCCTTGTTGCTAAGGCAATCTCAAGTGTTTTCACAATACAAAAGTACCACCACATCCAAAGCACTTTTGGGTATTGCTCCCTCAGGCAGTGTTAATTTCATATCTCAGTTGTATACAGGAGGCATATAAGATAGAGAAATCACCAAACAGCCTGGAATTCTAACATTGCTTGAAAGAGGGAACAGTGTAATGGGTGATAGAGGGTTTACAATGAATGACCTCCGATAGCCTCTTGGATGCACTCTTAATAGTCCTCCTTTACTAAATAACCAGGGGCAATTTACAGAGGATCCAGTCAAAGAGACTCATGAAATTGCAAATGTGAGGATTCATCTTGAGAGAGCTATAAGTAGAATTAAGACATTTAAGATGTATTTCCAATTAATCAGGCTGGCTTGCTTAATTAGATTAAGGCAGTTTGTACACTTCTGGTAAATATTCATCACCAATAGAAGTGATGAAGTAATAATGAGTAATTTTATTTTTTATTTCCTCAACAGTCATTCTCAGCTACAATACAAGATACACATACTATATATAGGCATATAACTTTGTATAGTACATTGCAGAAAGTAGCTGCTTTAATGTAAACATGGAAATGAAAATAACACAATACTGAAACAACCAGCCACAGCCAAAACAAAGACAGAATAGTCCAAACGGCTGTATCATACATCTGAAAACATTTGGGCTAATGGGCCCTCTTTGAGTCTCTTTGACTGGATCCTCTGTAAATTGCCCCTGGTTATTTAGTAAAGGAGGACTATTAAGAGTACATCCAAGAGGCTATCGGAGGTCATTCATTGTAAACCCTCTATCACCCAACTAAGGCCACAACCACACCACATGCCTCATAACGAGGCGTTCAACCATGATAGGTGTGTTCATCTTCACTCTTCAGGTTTTCAGTCTTATCTGTGGCTATACTCACCTAACTGGTCTCCGAGCCACCATACATTTTTCATGACACAATGGTTTCCTCCCAGCAAACCTTGAAGGAATTATAGGCAGTTTTTGGAGCCATGTGCAGGTTAAGCGTTGCTCTTCTCGTCGTCACCAAGGGCACCATGTTAGAAGATGTGCTTCAAACAAATATCTTATCCTTCCATCTCCATATAATGTTCTTCGAAATGACTGTGGAAGTAGAGGTGGCAGTGTACTTTTAGCTGTTAAATCTAATATATCATGCTCAAGACATCCAGATTTGGAAGATATTTGCGAACTCTTATGGGCCGAGATTCCACTGAAAAATTCAGGATCGTACTTCCTAGGAGTATTCTACCGCCCTCCTTCAAGTGACATGAACTACCTAGAGGGCCTTAAAAGGTCACTGGAAAAAGTTACAGTGGTATGTGATCACACTAATATTGTTCTTTTGGGTGACTTTAATTTTCCAGATATTGACTGGGACTTGATATGCCCCTCTCAACCAAATGTCTTATCACACTATTTCTGTGATAATATTGTGAACTTCTATGGTTTCTCTCAATTGATCGATGAGCCTACACGTCGGGATGCTATCCTAGACCTTGTGATATCTAATCGTCCAGAATCGATTAAAAACATCCAAATTTTGGACGGGATTGGCTCTTCAGACCACAATGTTGTCTCTCTCAAGTTGACATGCAAAGTCACTCGTCCATATCAACGGCCAAAACAAATCTTTGACTACAAAAATGCTAATTGGGATAACTTTTGTCTTGAACTATCAAATATCCCATGGGACGCTATATTGAACGACAATGACACAATGGAAGAGGTTTGGTTAAATTGGAAGTCTGCATTCTCTAAAGCCGTTGAAAACAACATTCCTTCAAAGAAAATAAAATCAAGACAAAATGTGCCCTGGATCACTTCTGATATACGCAAGCTATTCCACAAAAGAAAATGCCTTTGGAAGAAAGCCAAATCTACCCAGCTTGATGTTGATTTGAATGAATATAAATCGTTAAGGAATAAAATTAAATCGGAACTTAATAAGAGTTATTACCAACATGTCGACTCATTAATTGATTCCAAAAACCCTAAACGCTTCTGGTCTTTTATAAATCCAAAACGAAAAGCAAATCAATACCTGTCGCTATGAGATGGTCAGATCGTGGTGTCACAGCTTCTACTGGCAAGGACAAAGCAGAGTTAATTCGCAAATTTTTTGCATCGGTGTTTACCCACCCTGACCCAGCTACTGACGTTGATGAGGATGCCCATTTACATGGTTCAGGCTTCGATATACCAGATCTCATGTGCTCTAGCGCTAATGTGGGAGAGCTCTTGCTTACCCTTGATGTGAATAAAGCCTCTGGCCCAGATGGTTTGTCTGCACGTTTGCTCCGAGAGGCAGCTCCTGTAATTTCGGATCCACTTTCAAAGTTATTCAATATGTCTCTGAATAGAGGAAAACTACCTCGTGACTAGAAGTGTGCCAACATTACCCCAGTTTTCAAAAATGGTGGTAAAGAATATGTTTCTAACCATCGTCCAATTTCTCTGACATAGCTTGTAGTTGAGACCCTTAAGAAGCTAGGCACAAGACATATTATGGCTCATCTAGAAGATCATGACTTGTTAAGCCCTCATCAATATGGCTTTTGAGCTGGTTTTTCCTGCACATCCCAACTTATTCGCCTATCACAGGAAAAAATTTCAAAAAAATATCCAGGTTTTTTTGCTAATTCCCATTTTTAGAAAAAACACATTAATGGGAAAAAGAGCGATTTCCAATTTTTCTACTGAAATAACATTAATGTGTTTTTTGAATTTAAGTGTTTTTTTAGCAATTAACATTAAGACTGGGAAAAATCATGGATGGTTTTACATTGAAATCCATTTATGGGATTTTAGGGAACTTAAAACATTATTGTGATTTATAAAAACCATGAATGTGTATAACATAGGACCATTATTGGTATATTTATTTCCCATCAATGCGTACGCCAATAACCATTCATGTTATGCTATTTGACATTAATGGAATATAACATAAGCCTAAACCATTAATGTGTAAGGCTAAAACCATCAGTGGTTTATTATTTAAACCATTAATGGGATAGAGCTTCAGTTAAAAACCATTAATGTAAGATTGGAAACATCAATGTTTTCTTTCAAGGAACTTAAAACATTGATGTAATTTATAAAACCATGAATGTATATGACACTGGACCATTATTGGTTTATCTATTTCCCATCAATTGTGTTCTCTAATAACCATTTATTTTACATAAATGGAATATATGATGTAAGCCAAGCTGCATGCATAAATTATATTAAATAAATGTGTAAGGCTAAAACCATCACTGTTTTTTTTATAATTTTAGAGGAGTTTCAGTTAAAGACCATTAATGTAAGATTGAAAATTAAACGTCAATTTTTTTTAATGTCATTAACAAAACGGTCTGTGTATTTTAATCATTTCCCATCAAATTATGAATCTAATTAGACACTTGTGTTTAATTAATTTCTCATTAACGGAATACAATCTACAGCATCAGTTGTTAACAGCAATAATGTAAGTTAAAAACTCCAAATTATGTGTTTTTTACTTTTAGCCATAAATGGGATACCAGATCAGCTAATAAAATAAAATAAAATGCAATATCAACTATCAGTGGTTTGTTGTGACTTGTGTCTTAGTAAACCATAAATAATTGAGACTTGCATTTGCGTTTTGATGTTGGCTGATTATTGTTTTATCTTTATAAAACATCATCATAATGTTTCATACCAGTAATCAAAATAATGAATCACCGATGATAAAAACAGCTTAGCATCTCAGGGTGTTCTAAAGTGTTTGTCCATTAATAATCAACTGGCACCATTTCCCATATGTCCTCATTCCAGTCTCCATCAGCATTATGAAGTAAAGTGTTCCAGGAAACTTTATCACTGGCTAAACGAGGATTTCTTTCTGGGGAATACATAGCAATAACAGACCCATATACATCTTCCCTCTCTCCAACCTTGTTGTAGTACAGAACTTTGGCAATTTGGTGACTTGCATCAACACTTAACACCCTTCCAAACCATGGCTGGGGATCAGTTCCGTTGATGAAAACCATCTCTCCTTCCTTTGGGTACAATGGTACTACCACATCGTTTGGAGACAGTGGCATGCTCTTCCTCATAAAATCGACAACAATTGATTCTAAAGGCTCAGAAGGATTAGGAAAAACTATAGCCTTTCTCAAAATACTTGGCACCGGTACAATAATCTTCTGAGAAAGACTCCCATGGCATAAAATGGGAAAGCCAGTACTTGCAAATGTTACAAGTTTACCATCATCATCTTGTTTAGTTGGAAGTAACTGGCCTTGAATAAACTTGTGGTATTCTCCTTCAATCTCAAGACCTAGAAATTTTTCTACCAAAACAACTGATTGGACATTGTTCATGTTAAGAAAAACATGTTCTCCTGTCCTGTACAATAGGCCCTGACCTTGAATACCTTGTTGTGGTAAAAGAAGACTTCTGTAAGCCAAAGCTATTTCCGGAACAAGAACTTCACCACTTGATGTACTTGACCCAGTAAACTTTGATTTGATGAGATCCACATCCTGTTTTGACAGCTGGACTTCATTTCTCTCAGACCCACCAACAAGAATTCCCTTTTTGCTGTAGTTCTCATGACGAGGTGAGGTTTTGGCAATGTCACTTAAGTGTCTTGCTCCTTCCAAACTGGTGGCACTCATCTAGAAAAAAAGTTAATATTTTTCTCAGTCAGATTGTAGCTTAACATAATTATAAGAACTAAAGTTAATTTGGCTAAAGATCACTGTATGAATTATCACTGACATGAGAACAAGAAATAGAACGGAGGGTTTAAAGTTTTGTGTAGTTTTTCTTCCATACAAAAGCTAACTTTAACTTTTCAAATTTTCAAATCACCGTGGAAATCATCTTTTTTTTTTTGGCTTAGCTTAACAATATTATTTGTAGTCCTAACCTTTCTTTAGGATTCATTTACATGCCTTAAGTATTAGTGGACTGCATAACAATGGAGTTACAATTATATCATTTAATGTAATGTCTACAACAAACTAATGGCTTCATGACTGAGTCTGTAATTACTGTATGTAAAGTTAAGGCAGCCCAGGAATTCCTTTTTGTTCACAATTACATTCTGAAATGTAATTACATTATGGCGACTTTCAGTGTAAAATTTACATGTACAATGCAGTGATGGCATTTTATGGCTACTAACAACTTTTCAAATACCTTTTCCAGGCAGAACTTGTACTGTTTGGGCTGGTCCTTGATGCTAGAGGAGAGATGTTGAAGCAATTCACGTCGTGCTTCTTTTTTGGCATAGGTGCATTCAATGTTCTTAAAGTTGGACTTTGTTGTAACATACCTCCGCACTGCCCTTTCAAATGGAAAACACCAGTAGTTGTCAGGGTGTGAAAACCGCATAGCATCGTCAGGAATATGAAGAAGGTTGTGCTCAGTGACTGTACATGAAGTCAGACCCCTATGCTCTTCAGTAAGCACTAAGTAGCGTTGAGCTAACTTGGAGAAAAGATGAACATCATCGAGCACCCATCCATCCCGTTTACAGAAGACAAGTTCTGTCATCCTGACAGTAAGTTGCCAAATGGGATAATCCATATCTTCTAAGAGGTCAGCAAATATTACTTCAGAGGCTGGAAAGGCAAATTTGTGGAGTTCTTCTGCCTTCCAAAAGGCCAGGCGAGAACCATAACCATTAGGAATTCTTCCATCTTTCAATTCTACAGTTATAATAATCAGAAAATCAATTGTACAGTTCTGTTGTATAAATTAATATATGTAGTGTACGCTGAGTAAAAATTTACTGAGTAGCTAGACACACCGTGTTTTAAGTTACTAGACGTAATATAATTTGTAACTTCATTTGGTATTTTTTCATAAACAGACTCATCAACAGACTCTCTGGTTACTTAACCAGAGATGTGCTGCTAAAGATTTATAAGCAAACAGTGCTACCAATCCTGGACTATGGATGCACAGTGTGGATGGAATGCTCTAAGGGTATGACAGACAGTCTGGAAAGACTTCAAAATCAAGCAATGCGCTCCATACTCAAAACAAACAGAACCGCATGCACCCAGAAGATGAGAAGTAAACTGGGACTTCTGACACTTAAAAACCGGAGGCGTTTTATTAGTTTGCATATGTATTAATGCAATTAATGTTAAATTAATAACTTAAGATGTTAATGACAAAAGAATAAATTCTTGTTTATTACAGACCTGCAGTCCAAGGAAAGAAGCGTAGACGTTGGTCAACTAATTTACTGTCAATCTTCTCAAGAGTGATGAAGCTTTTGAGTTGTGCTGCTATGACATTTGAAGGGAGGTTATGCATAGTGTCATACACAAGATCCTTGAAAATGTCAAATCCATAAAGTTTGTGCAGTCGATAAAGGACGCTTAATCCAGTATAACCACTGTTCCTGCTTTTTTCTGCCCGAACAGTTTTGCGGTCTTCCTCATTTATATCTTTCATCGTTTTCAAGTCTTCTTCCAGCTTTCGCTCCTCCCATGCAAATCTGGCGTGGTACCGATTATTAACATAATAGTATGTGCTTCCACCCTCTGGATTGATAGTACCTATTGAATAAAATGGACTTTTATTTCAGACAAGAAACTGACCAAAAACCAATGTGAATAAAGAAATGACAGCATATTACCAATCTTTTCTTCAGAAATATGATAAACCATTTTGCTTTGAATTCATTCTTACTCACCAGCTGGTATTTAATTATTTTGCAATATGCAATTATATGCACAGCATTTTCTAGAAACATTATTTTACAAAAATACAATAAACACAAGTGTACATAAAAAAAACACAATATTTTATTAACCTATCAGAATTTTTGCCAAAGATTAAACAATATCATTACTTTTACATTAATTATTACTACTGAAAAGACTAATTCAGATTAATGTTAGAATAATTTCAGTAGAGTGCTACACTGTAAATCATACATGAATAAATTGTGTCTAATTTACCTTTTAGTTTGTCTCTACGGCATGGTAATATACCATGTTTGATGAACTTCCCTACTTCGTGTTGTGCAGGATAGTCACCTGTCCATAGCAGAATCAAGATGCGCAAGATGATCCTTCCTGCCGGAAGACCAGGAAATGACTCAACATAGTCAACTTCAAGACCTGAAAAAAAAAAATGCATGTTTAAAGAAGTTGCTATTGCACACGCATGCAAGTTTTGGTTAATTAATTAAATTATTCAAATGAAATTTGGTCTTGACTATTTTTTTCTAGTTTTTTTGAAACTAAAACAAATTATTAAGTTTAGAATAGAAGTGGTCTGCATGGTTTCCAGTACATGTGCATGTATATTAAATAAATGTATAATTATGATAAATGACTACCTGTACTGAATACTGGTAGATAAATGTTATAATAGAAACTGGGTGTGCCATCAATGGCTTATCAGACGGTATATTGCAACTTGGATTCATACCATCGATAAAGATGTCTTCGATGTCACTGATGAGAGGATGCAAGAAGGGATCCAGTGAGCAAGGCCGACTTTTGGGTAGCTGGTAAGAAGGTACAAAACCTACTACATATATCTGATCAGTACTGCATCGCTCAGCTTTAGCCATGTTTGCAATGGTCACTTCTATTGCACCTGCAAATACCATATTGAAACATTCAATACTCATGTCTGTTAAAGTGATATTTTAGAATCAATCAAGCAGGCTCTAACTAAAAGGTATAAATGAATGGATCAATTAATTTTGTATCCCAAAGATGTAGCCACATTTACCAAGAAGTTTTATAAATTGTAGATGTGACAGAAATTGATAGGAACAACTCTTTATAAGTATTGGCCGGTGGTAAAAGGGTATAGGGTTAGGCCGGGTTCAAGAACTTTCGCAGCACATGTACACCCCTATCCAAAATTTTCAGGAGTACCCCCCCCCCCCGGAAAACGCTAAAGGAAGAACATAAAAATTGTTAAATAGAAATTATAATTACCACAACTATGTGCTCCAGGGTATCCGAAAGGTTGCCATCCGTCCCAGTGCCCAATAAGAGCAATGTTGCGGGGGTCACCTGTGGCATAGGATGGTGTTTGCTCCCACCTTGTTCCACATTCAGGACATGTGATTTCATACCTTCCATCTTCTTGGGGACACTCCTTCATTTCATCGACACTAATTATGTTGGTACAGAATTTACATTTCACAGGAAGCATCCATTCAGAATCTGGTTTCCAGAACCAACTGAGTTCATTAAATCTTTCACCATCCCATATCTCTTTTAGTGTAAAGTTTGCACTTCGCCTTCAATCCAGTGATCTTTCTCTCTCCAGTGGGCCATCATTTTCTTACACATATCACAGTTAGCACACCACAGTTCAACTTTGTCAGAGATATCCAGGTAATAATATTTAATTTTTCCTGCCTTACCACAATGTCTGCACGTTTCGTCTGCCTTTTCCATGACATCCCACTGTGCATAGTGGCTCTCGTCCAGGCAAACATAAAGTTCTCTTAGGGCATTGTATCCACAGTTTTTGAGAACTGATTGAGTCTCTTGCCAATTTCTTGGCCATCTTTCCTCTAATTTTCTGTCATTTCGACAAAACAACTCCTTAGAAAATTGGAGAATGTCTTCAAAATCTGAGATGGATCCACTCATTTGATCCA